CCTTGGCACTCTGTGTGTGGCTATACACTGTGAGGAGCTGTTTGGGAAAGGTACAGGGGCTCAGACGTGGTTCTAGTGTTTAGGTCAGAATGACGTTTAGGCATCGAGCTGTAGTTGAGGGTCATTAGTCAGTTCACTAGTCGAAAATCAACCGGCTGCTATTTAAAAGCAACAGTCTTCAACATGTTCTGGTTCCACCTTCTTTAATGTGAGGAGCTGATGCTTTTCTTTGTCAGACATGAGAATCGGCTGAGTCTCTGTTGGTTGGACACAACAAGACGTGAAGACACCACCTTTGGCTCTTGAGAGTCACAGTGGGACTTTTTCCCAGTGTCTGACATTCTGGGGATAAAAAGACCAATCAGGTCATCTAGACAATTGATCAGCTGATTGATCAGTGACATGGGTTTCCTGTAGTTTGTACACTATGTGCACTGGTGTGTGTGGTGGGATGAGGGCGAGCATGACGAAACATCAGATTGTTATAACGTGACGTGGACACCAGTACATTATTGTGATTCAGTCTCCAGTCCTGTGGTTTCAGAGGACGGTGGACCAGGTCTGTTCCAGTCTGGATCCCTTCATGATTTTTATTTTTTTTTACTGCCAATTGTCAACAAGATTACACCTGTGTGTCAGATCCAGCTGCTGGTTGTTCTTATGAGAAGTTCATGATGTATGAATTGAACTGTTTTGTTACTTTAGTTGTACTTTGTGTTGTAGCTGCACGTTTAACATGCTGTTTATTTTGAGATGATACATGTCGAAGTGTCTTCGGGCAAGACACTGAACCCCCCAAGTTGCCCGTGATGGCGGCGTGTACGCACGCAGCGGCCTGGGGCCCTCAGCTCCAGACAAAATTTTGTTGTACATGTCACAATGTTACAATGACCATAAAATAAAGCTGCTTCTTCTTCTTCTAAAAACCAGGCAACGATGTTTCACGTGATGTGTATAGTGTGTTGTCAGTGCGGGTCTGAGCTGCTCAGGAAAGAATCAAGTTTGTCCTGAGCTTAAGTGGCCTAACAAGGGAGCCTACAAACATTTAGGCCTCCACAGCCAGACTTTTACTTCTAAAGTACAATGTCAGCTCATTATGGGGAACTCGAAACGCTTTCTGGGTCACCAGTAGAAAATGTCAAAAACTGAGCTTCTAAGTCAACATTAATATGAAATGCACACACCTCCAGGATAATATGAGGATATTTTACATTTGTTTGTCTTTTGCTGTTGTTGAGTGTCTTTTAAGTAGAAGTCCTGTGTGCACAGGAAACACTGTGAAGCAGTGCTCCATGGTCCCTGAGTGGAGGCTCTGTTACAGTGTTCGACAGCCTGCAGCGTGGAGCTGGGGTCAGAAGGAGTGTGTTGGAGCTGTACCACATTGGATGATTCTCCCAGGGTTAAAGGTCACACTGAGCTGTATGTGAGAGACTTGGACGCTGCTGGTTGGTGTTCATGTGTTTCCTGGTGCTCTTCTGCCCTCTGCTGGCTGCTTGGTGGAAGTGACTGACAACAGGAGTTTGGACTAGGTCATTATTTTCAAGCTGTGTGGGATCAAAATGAGCTTTCTCTTAGTTTGTGCCTGGGTCAGCGTTGTAAATTACACTTGTTTACATATTGTGAGAAAAAAATGTTTGAATCTATACATCTTCCAGTATTTTCTTATTAAATCTAGAGATGTTTGGTCAGTTAATCAATAGGAGATTGAAAATTAATCTGTTATAATTTGTGTAAAGTTTAAGTAAAACTGTCTGAATTCAGTTTTTCAATTGAGACTAAATGTGTTTGGACTGTGAGAGATTATACATATCAAGTTTCACTGTTTTTGACATTTGATATTCAAAATAGTCAATTGACAAATAATTGGCAGAGTGATACTGAAAATAATCATTAGTTTGATTAGACCCTCTGATCGAGAGGTGAGTATTGTACTTGTCAGTGCACTGTATTTATCTGACCGCTTGAATCAGTTGCAGTGTCAAACATAGTCAGTGGTAAAATATCAATACCTAACTTTGATTGGTCTCGGTCCTCAGGGGCAACCAGGAACATTCTGGTCCATTAAAATAAATGACTGTTCTTTGCTTTTGTCTATGCGCTGCTTTAAATCAGAATGTCTCTGTGTATGCATGAACCTTCCAAGCTCCTGTCACTCGCATCCTCTTCACAGAGTTCAAGGTTGCCATGTGGCTATTTCCAGCTCATCTTCGCTTTGATCCATGTCGCAAAATGACAAGGTAACAGAACTCGGACAGGGGAGGATCAGCTGTGTTACAGGAACACCTCCATGGATCAAGGAGGAAATCAATCCTGCCTGACAGTGTCTTCAGGATACACTGACCTGACTGGACCATGACAAGCAGACACACACACACTGAGCAAAGTGTAGGCATGCATGGATCAACACTAACACGCAGAAACAAACATTTGTCATACACACACTCCAGCTGTGTGTGAGACACACATGACCTGTCAGTGCTGGTTTGTCTGTTGTCTTGTCAAGGTGCATCATGGGGCGACGGTTCTGCTGAGAATTCACCACAAACTAAGTGCATCTGCAGTTTTCAGCTCTGAAATACTTTGACAGTGTTGTCATCCTTAAACTTGCATGTTTCCTCAGATTGTGTTTTCCTGGATGCCGACGGTATCTGGTCCACAGTGGATCCTCTATCAAATCAGTCCAGTCCTACCACCCTGCGTCGTCTTTATATCTGTGTTGAGTCTTGACTTTTGAAAAGTGAGTAGCAAGTGAAAAGCTGCTGGTTTAAGGCCTTATCAATAAGTGCATATACTCAGCCTCCCTCTGTGGTTGTGCCCTTGAGCACTGGCAGTCACTCGGCTCCTCCCAAGGTCATTGAGAATTCCCTGCTAGCTAATTGCAACAGGGCCTGTAGTTGTCTGAACACACGGGCATCTGTGGACGGTGGCGCAGGGGTTGCGAGGGGGACGTTATTTCTGACAAATGTGCCATCTCCATAATTAGCTCAGAAGCACCATATGAAACATTAAACAAGCTGGGTGCTGACAACAATCAAAACATTTAATTTGTTGTCAATTATTCATTACTTTGAAGGTTCTGAAGGGGTTGTTAATATGAAAATAAGCTTGCGATGCTAACAAGGTTGTGGTATCTGCTCCCAAATCATCTGAGCACAGAGCACCCTTCCTACTTTGTTCTTCTAGGCTCATATGTTCTGCTCTGACTTTTTTCTCTTCTCATATTCATGAAGCCTGTTTTTCAAATACAACTATTTTTCTCTCTTGAAACGAGCTGCTTTTATCCACTTTGTCCATATTTGATGGAGTTTTTTGAAAGAAGTGTAGCTCAGCCTCAAATGAAGTTAAACCACCCCAAACCAATTCATTACCATTTTGGTAGCTTGCTTTTACTCATGGCTTTATTAAGGTGTATTTCAGCTCTGGTCCTTAAAGTTTAATTCTGTCCCTTTTTATGGTTTAGTGATGAAAAATCCCATGGTCCTGGGTACATGGAGCAAAGTAGTCCTGTAACAAAACAGTCTTTGCTCCTTCCCATTGCATATGTTGTGCATCAAACCTCGATTTAGAGCATGACATTGGCTCAGGTCTAACAGATGTCAGCATGCACTGGCAGCCTCCAGAACAGCACTACTGGAAACCAGGGGTTCTGTTATGGATGCCTAGTTGCACATAGTTATTACTGAATTAGTTGAACATTGCTTCACTGTAGATGGTGGCTGGTCATCCTACCAGATCTAAATCAGTAGTGTATACAACTGAAATGTAGTTTTGTGTTGGTTTTCTGCAGTTACCCACAGTTCAGAAGAATAATGGCAGCTTTCCTTGTCTCCTCCACAAGGCGTGAGGGCAAAGGGGTGAGATGTCCAAGCACCAACCGCTGTAACGAGGGAGAGGAGTAGAGGCAGGAGCAGAGCAATGTCTGTCAGCAGACAGATTAACTTGTTCATCTGGGCAATAGATCTCTGTTGTTGTTCTTCAGAAATGCTTAAAAACACATCAGGGAAATGGCGCGAGCAGCCATCATTTCCTGATGTTGGCATTAGCCAGCTGCACATGTACAAGCTCTCTTTGTTTACCCTCTGCGAGCTCATCACATGTAGGTCTGGTGGCCATAGAGATGAATAGAGAGGGCTGCGTTTTATCACGTCTTTGAAACTCCGTCTGAATACGGGCTTACAGATCACTAAGGAAGATATTTGGAATGCACACAATGTTGAGACGGTGACATGAATAGCAGTGCTGTGCGTGGTGTGCAGTGATGATTTTGTTTGGTGGCCAAGTGAAAAATTAATTGACTTCACTGCAGAAAACCAACACAAAGTTTTACTTAATTAAGTAAAACTGCACAAATGGGCCTTACTGTTTTAATAAGTCTGTTTTGAGTTTGTGATTGGGCTGTGGAGAATTATTTGGTTAATAATTTTAAAAGTACAGTTTTTTTTTTTAAATAAATTCCTGTCCTTGAGAGTGGAAGTGTGTTCCAAAAGTGTTTGCTTCAAAGATGTTTACATTTATTGTTGAAACCCATTTTTATTGCTGAGTAGAATGTACAGACGGCTGCACCAGCAGTGTCTTTTGGGGAGGCTCACCTACCCACAATTTCAAACCCCCTGATGTAAGGTAGTTAACATGTTAACAACATTAACATGATGAACAGAGTAATGCATCTATAATTATAATCCAGGGATATACAGTAATGTGAAATGTGTACTTTTGCTTTTGGTACTTGAAGTATTTTGATGCTAATACTTTTATAATTGTGCTTGAGTGAATGCAGGTGCAACCGAGTACTTTTACCAAAGTAAAGGCTCAATCTGACTCCAAGTCTGGTCCTGGTGGAACTATTCTAACATGAAATTTTTGCAGTTTTGATGACCTGCTGCTTTTTCCTGTTGTACTATGACTATTACTAAGGATTGTTTTTCATTTGACATGAAACACAGCAGCAACACTAAAGCTGAATATTCTGCTGATTTTAGGCCTTTTCTTCCTTTCCACAGTTTATCGCCACCTCCTAAGAACTTGTCCACCCTTGGTGCCCTTCGTGACAGCACCTGGAGAGATGGCTGCTACTGAACTGAACCAGTGTAGTAGTGCAGTGGCAACCTGCTCACTGGGGCGACACCACACCTCAGCATAGAATAGTTAAATGTCTTTACAGGTAAGGGGCTTCACATGAACTCATCTGTCAGGCCAATGCTTCAAGGCTATGCAGAACCTCTTTGGCGAAGTCAGGTTGTGATGTATTGATATGGACACTCTCCGTCCTTGTTGCTTTTGTGCAATGCACTGCTGACTGCAAGGTACCAGTAATGCAATGCCCGCTAAAGAGGGCTGCCAGCTTTTATCAAATTAGCATAATGATGCTCTAGTTACTGATTGTTTATTTTAAATGAAACATTTACAAGTGTCAATGAATTTAATCAGTCCCTGTTAGTTTGGGCATTTTTACAAGGAACATATTAAAAGTGTCTTGTGTACAGAGGTGGGTAATAAGTATGTGTAGGTATAGTGTATATTGATGCACTATTATAGAATTTTAATGTCAATCTTGACCAAATTTAAAATGTCTGAATGTGTTTCTAGAGTTGTACCACCATGGTATATGTTGTGCATATCAACACTTTAAAACCTTTGTTTCACTATAAATATTTTATAATTTATATTATGTATATATTTAATATTATATTTTAAAATATTTTATAAATATT